CAGCAGCAGCAGCAGCAGCAGCAGCACCTGCTCGGCCACTGGCCGTGGGGCCCAGGCCAAAGAGTTGATGCGGCTTTGGCGGCCCTTCAGCTGCAGCAGCAGCAAACCATCAGCAGGTCTCCAGACTTTGATGCTGTCTCCCCAAGAAGCTGTTGCAATTAAAGTCCCCCAGCAGCAGCTGGTGCTGCTGCTGCTGCTGCTGCTGTTGGCGTCGGCGGCTTGGGCGGGGGCGGCGGGGTCGCTGGCGCGCTGCCCCCTCGCTGCTGCTGCTGCTGCCGCTGCCGCCGCCGCTGCTGCTGCTGCTGCTGCTGCTGCTGCTGCTGCGAGGGCGGTGGAAGGCGCGAACTTGCAGCAAGTGAGGGGCCGCTCGTCTGCAACAACAGAAGCAGCAAGTTGCATTTTAGATTGAATAAATTTATTAAAATAAATTGTGTCAAGAATAGGACTTGAGGGGGGCAAGCAGCAAGTGGTGCGCTGCTGCTGCAGCTTCTGGGCGTGCTGCCGCAGCAGCTGCTCCTGCTGCAGCCGCTTTGCTGCTGCTGCTGCGCTTGCTGCTGCACACGCCCGCCGGAACGCCAGCAGTTTGCTGCTGCCTTCTGTGTAGAAAGTCCCCTCGATATCTTCTTCCTGCTGCTGCTGCTGCTGCTGCTGCTGCTGCTCCGCAGCAGCGGGCTCCTGCTTCGCCGCCGGCTGCTTCTTCACCGCGATCACTCGCGCCGCCGGCTGCAGCAACTGCTGCTGCTGCTGCTGCTGCTGCTGCTGCTGCGGTGTACATACACCCGAAGGCAACTCCCGACCAGCAGCAACAAGAGCCTTCAAACGCGACCGCCGCTCAAAAGGCCCTTCTCCAAACAAAGTCACTGGTTCGCCCATTCCCCTGCAGCAGCAGCAGCAGCAGCAGCAGCAGCAGCAGCAGTTGCAGCAGCAGCAAAGCTGCTGCAGCCCAACAGCTGCACTGCATTTTGTTAATTTTCGCTTATTATTCATTTATTTATTTATTTTGTTATTAGTTATTTTACTTATTTATTTAATTTAATTATTCATTTTCAACTGCTCCTGTTGGCAGGGAAAGGAGTGAACCAGAAATAAATACATAAAATAAAATATATAAAATAAATAAAATGCATTTTAAAAATAAATAAATGAAATGCGTTAAACAAGCAAATAAAACGCAAAAGACAAATAAATAAAATGCATTAAAACAAAATAAATAAATGGATAAAACTAAATAAATAAATAAATAAAAATGAATAAATAAAATGCAAATAATAATAAAAGCTGCAGCTTTTATTACCTGAGGGCCTCTCGAACATCAGAGTCAATTGTGGGAACTGCTGTTTTAAAAGAAGCTGCTGTTTGCTGCACTTGAAAGGCCTTGAGTCTTTCTTGCTGCTGCGGTCCCGCTGCTGCTGCTGCTGCTGCTGCTGTTGCTGCTGCTGCTGCAGGGGGGCCCGCGGGCGGGCCCTCCTCCAGCACTGCAGCAGCAGCAGCATTCCCCGCCTCGCTTATCTTCCCGTAGTACAGGTGGCTTTTGCTGTCAGCAGCAGCAGCAGCAGCAGGAGCAGCAGCAGCAGCAGCAGCAGCGGGAGATTTCTTTACGCCGGCGGCCCCAGCGGGGCGGGGGCCCCCCGAGGGCTCCGGCATGGCGGGAAATGAAGTGAAATTAAATTAAATCAATTAAATTAAATTAAATTAAAATAACAGAAAAAGAAAAATAAATGCTAAATAAATGGCAAAAGGGAGTCCCAGGCGCTGCCGAAACCAGAATTCAAATTCAAATTCAAGAACGCCGCTACAGCAGCCGCGCAACAGCAGCAGCAGCAGCAGCAGCAGCAAAGAAAAGGGAAATGGACCTCTTTTAAATCTCCGAGGCCTCAAAAACAAAAAGAAAAGATAAAACGAACCTCAAAGATCTAAAGCTGTTCTTCAAAGGCCACGGGGAGGACTGCATGCGCTCCGCCGCAGCCAGTTCCACTTTCTGCAATGCATGCATGCGAAGGAAGCCTGCGGGAAAGTCCCCAAACTTCGCCTGAAATAGCTGAAGTAGACTTTATTAGTTTTTCAATTTTCAAAATAAAAAGCAAAACAACTTTTTTTCAGCGGCAGACCCAAGATCGGGGTAGCTGCTGCGACGGTCGCCGCGCCGTCGGCGCGCAGCGCAGAAAGCGAAAAAAAAAACACAGTCCTTTCTTTTGCATCTTTCCAAAGATATAATGTTAAATTGAGAATGTTATCAAGTCTTATGCGTCTTCTGGGCTCAAAAACGCGGCCTTTACCTCCAAAGTTCGTTCTTGAAGAATCTGCAGTTGGCGCCGCGGGTTTCAGGTGTACATACACCCCAACCGCCAGCAGCGCCACCCCCTCTTCCGCCGTTTCACTTATGTTTATTTTCGAATCATTTTGAATTCAACTAAAGCCCGAAACCCCTTGAATTGTCCGTTTTTTGTCTTTTATTTCTTCAAAATGTCCTATTTATCGATTTGATGTCCTTTGATTCCGCCAGAAAGCAAATTTGTCGCTTCTTCCGCTCTTTTTCTGTTCAGCTTCCCAACAAAAAATCTGCAAAATGATTTTTTTCAAGTCCGATCCGCCGCTTCTCTGGGCTTTGGGCTTTCCCCCGTGCGCCTAGCGAAGGTAAATTATAAATTTGAATTAATTTTCGAATTTAAAATTAGTCTTTTTGCAATTTTGCAAAAAAATGAAGACAGCGACTGCTGCTGCGGCCTGCAGATGGGCCCCAGCAAAGGCCGCGGGCCCCTCATAGCCAAGTTTGCCCCCGCTGGATTCAAGAAGGGATTTGGGGCCATTGGATTGGGAAGGCACACAAAAAAAGGTGAATTCTTTTGATTTCAGACTTAATTTTGACTCAAATTTGAATAAATGAAGAGCCTTCTCATTCAAGTAAACATTCCGTTCAGTTCAAATACTCAAATACTTCATTTTACTCAAAAGAACTTTTCTTTTAAATGGCTTTCTTTGGTTCAAAGTGCTGCTCTGGGCGCCGCCGCGGGGTGTCTGTACACCCCAAGTCTATGTGTTCCACTTAATCATATATTTATTTGTTCCCGTATTACATTAATTAATTAATTAGTTTATTATTTATTTATTTATTTATTTACTTCTTTTTCGCCTTTTGTTTATTCGCCGCTAACTTCTTTATTTGCATTTCGGGCATTTGCAAGTCAGTTGCTTTTTGCTGCTTCTGCATCTGCTGGTAATTAAATTCCACTTATTTCTATTTATCTTTATTCATTTACATTTATTTATATTTATTTATTCATTTATTTATTTACATTTACTTACTTATTTATTATTTAATTTCATTTCATTTTATTTCTGCTGCTGCTCTAAAGGCTTTTTTCTCATCAATTCGATGCTGGTCCCCAAACTGCATATGCCGGACTTAAACGGATTTGAGGTAAATCAATTTTATTTATTTAAAATAAATAAATATATTTAAAGTGCAATTCAATTCATTTTAATTCACTTTAATTGATTTAAATGCATTTAAATCCATTTAAATCTTTCAAATTGATTCAGATTGATTTAATTGGATTTAAATGAATTTAAATCCATTTAAATCAATTAAAGTGGATCTAAATGGATTTGAAACATAATCCAAACAGAATAACGGGGAGAATATCGCGAATCTGCGCCGCTGTTACTGCTGTTGCTGCTGCTGCTGTTGTTGCTGTCGTTGTTGCTGCTGCTGCTGTTGTTGCTGCTGCTGCAGCTGAAGCCTTACGTTTGCCCCCAAACTTACAAAATTGCGTCGCAGAAGTATTGGGCAGCAGACGAGGAAGAATAAAAGTCGAAATAAAGAAATGAAGAAAAGATGAATTATTTAAAACTCGAGAAATGGGAAAACAAATGAATGAACCATTCTTTTTAAACAAATCTGCAAATAAACATATTTGTTGACTTCAACAAAATTTCTTTTCTCGCTGTTCCGGTGTATGCACACCTCAAGTTCTCACTTATCTTTTCGTCGAACTTTTGAAAACTCTTCGAACTTAATTCATTTTTAAGTTGAGTTTTTCTTTCTTTTGTTTTTAAAAGCAGTTTCGAGGAAAGGAAAAAGAATTAAACTTTTAAATCGAAAAGAGTTTTGAAATGCTTTGCGACGAAACGAAGAGCGACGACCCAGGTGTCTGCACACCTCAGCGTTGCTCCGAAGGAGAATTCAAAAAGTGGCTTCCTTCATTTTATTTATTTATTTATTTATTTGTTTGTTTGTTTTAGTTTATGTATTTGTTGTTATTTATTTCTTTGTTGTTCCTCTTGAAGGCGCTGGCCGGAAGCGCTTTCTCTGTTTCTCCCGCGGGCAATTTGAGGTGTACGTACACCTCACGGCTGCGGCGTGGGCGGCTTCGAATTGGATTTGTTTTCACTTTTTCTTTTTTCATTTTTTTCTTTTCTTTTTTGCTGCTTTTTTATTTTCTCCTTTTCTTTGTTTTCCCTTTCCAGCCGCAGCCAGGCGCCGAAGTTGCTGCGCTGACCTGCCGCCGCTGCTGTTCCTGCTGCTGCTGCTGCTCCTGCTGCTGCTGCTGCTCCTCCTGCTGCTGCTGCTGCTCCTGCTGCTGCTGCTGCTGCTGGAGGGAAAAGGACTTGCTGGAAGTCTTCAGTTTGGAATCCAAGTTGGTTGAGGACTTTGAGTTTCTTTTTGATGCGGAGTTGGAGTGTACGTACACCCCGCGCGGACACCCGCTGCGCCGCTTTCCTCCGGTAGCTTTTTGCTTCCTGGCGGGCCCTGTCGCGGCTCGTCAGCAGCCGCGGCCTCCTGCTGCTGCTGCTGCTGCTGCTGCTGCTGCTGCGGGGGGGGTAGCCGCGGGCGAAGACGTGGGGCCCCACAGCCCCCGGGGGCTGCAGCAGACACACGAGAGTGCGGCCGAAGAGGCGGTAGCCGTGCATTGCTGCTGCTGCAGCAGCAGCAACTTCGCGCAGCGCGAACAGCAGGAAGGCGTGGCCTTTGCTGCTGCCGCTGCTGCTGCTGCGCTGCAGCCGCACAGACAGCACGCGGCCAAACTGCGAAAAGAACTTGAACAGCTGCTGCTCCTTAAATGCTGCTGGCAGGTGCCCCACATACACCACGCCTCGCCGTGCTGCTGCTGCTGCTGCTGCTGCTGCTCGCCGCGCTGCTGCTCGCCTGCCCCTCCGGCTGCCTCTCCCTGCTGCTGCTGCTGCTTCTCCGGCTGCTGCTGCT